TGTCAAGCCAGCATTAAGGGTGAATTGTTTTGCTTAAGGACACACCTCGACAACGCAGAATGATATATCAGTATCTCAGCTTCCTGAGAAATACAGTTAATTCAGCTTTTCCTTCCGTTTCGATTGAGAAACATTGTTTCGGTACATGAAAATAGATTAGATATATAATGTATGTAATATGTAAATATTTGATAACACCCTCAGAGAGTGTTCTGCACTATGAACATATACAAACTTATCTTAAAGCCTACCTTTATACAAATGGCACCTGTCTATAAAGGCCACCTTTTCTGATCCCCCGATTGATCTCTAGATAGATTTGACTGCACGCTTATTCTCTGTGTAATGTTTATGACTATAAATTCTTCTGTCTATGTTCTTTGCTATCTTGCACAAATCAATTGAAATACGTTAGCATACATTTGTGTATTGTAATCATATATGGTGTAGCATACGGAATTAATTAAAATTGATATTTGATCTCGAACACTAACAGTTCCCCAGTTAAACATGTAACATCTCTAGACCTCTGTAAATAGACATGCCCAGTAAACATGTAACATCTCTGGACCTCAGTATATAGACATGCCCAGTAAACATGTAACATCTGTAGGGATCAGTTTGTAGACATGCCCAGTAAACATGTAACATCTCTAGACCTCAGTATATAGACATGCCCAGTAAACATGTAACATCTCTAGACCTCAGTATATAGACATGCCCAGTAAACATGTAACATCTCTAGACCTCAGTATATAGACATGCCCAGTAAACATGTAACATCTCTAGACCTCTGTATATAGACATGCCCAGTAAACATGTAACATCTCTAGACCTCAGTCTATAGACATGCCCAGTAAACATGTAACCTCTTTAGGGCTCAGTATATAGGCAGTATAGACATAGTAACATGTATATACTCAGTAGGACCTCAGTATATAGACATCCCCAGTAAACATGTAACATCTCTAGACCTCAGTATATAGACATGCCCAGTAAACATGTAAAATCTCTATACCTCTGTATATAGACATACCCAGTAAACATGTAACATCTCTGGACTTCAGTATATAGACATGCCCAGTAAACATGTAACATCTCTACACCTCAGTATATAGACATGCCCAGTAAACATGTAACATCTCTAGACCTCAGTATATAGACATGCCCAGTAAACATGTAACATCTCTAGACCTCAGTATATAGACATGCCCAGTAAACATGTAACATCTCTAGACCTCAGTATATAGACATGCCCAGTAAACATGTAACATCTCTAGACCTCAGTATATAGACATGCCCAGTAAACATGTAACATCTCTACACCTCAGTATATAGACATGCCCAGTAAACATGTAACATCTCTGGACCTCAATATATAGACATGCCCAGTAAACATGTAACATCTCTGGACCTCAGTATGTAAACATGCTAAGTAAACATGTAACATCTCTACACCTCAGTATATAAACATGCCAAGTAAACATGTAACATCTCTGGACCTCAGTATATAGACATACTCAGTAAACATGTAACATCTCTACACCTCAGTATATAAACATGCCAAGTAAACATGTAACATCTCTGGACCTCAGTATATAGACATCCCCAGTAAACATGTAACATCTCTAGACCTCAGTATATAGACATGCCCAGTAAACATGTAACATCTCTGGACTTCAGTATATAGACATGCCCAGTAAACATGTATATAGTATATAGACATGCCAAGTAAACATGTTACATCTCTAGACTTCAGTATATAGCCATCCCAAGTAAACATGTAACATCTCTACACCTCAGTATATAGCCATCCCCAGTAAACATGTAACATCTCTAGAACTCAGTATATAGACATCCCCAGTAAACATGTAACATCTCTAGACCTCAGTATATAGACATGCCCAGTAAACATGTAACATCTCTACACCTCAGTATATAGACATGCCCAGTAAACATGTAACATCTCTACACCTCAGTATATAGACATGCCCAGTAAACATGTAACATCTCTACACCTCAGTATATAAACATGCCAAGTAAACATGTAACATCTCTGGACCTCAGTATATAGACATACTCAGTAAACATGTAACATCTCTAGACCTCAGTATATAGACATGCCCAGTAAATATGTAACATCTCTGGACCTCAGTATATAGACATGCCCAGTAAACATGTAACATCTCTAGACCTCAGTATATAGACATGCCCAGTAAACATGTAACATCTCTGGACCTCAGTATATAGACATGCCCAGTAAACATGTAACATCTCTAGACCTCAGTATATAGACATACTCAGTAAACATGTAACATCTCTGGACTTCAGTATATAGACATGCCCAGTAAACATGTAACATCTCTACACCTCAGTATATAGACATGCCCAGTAAACATGTAACATCTCTAGACTTCAGTATATAGACATGCCCAGTAAACTAGTAATATCTCTGGACCTCTGTATATAGACATCCCCAGTAAATATGTAACATCTCTACACCTCAGTATATAGACATGCCCAGTAAACATGTAACACCTCTAGACCTCAATATATAGACATGCCCAGTAAACATGTAACATCTCTACACCTCAGTATATAGACATGCCCAGTAAACATGTAACATCTTTGGACCTCAGTTTGTAGACATGCCCAGTAAACATGTAACATCTCTACACCTCAGTATATAAACATGCCAAGTAAACATGTAACATCTCTGGACCTCAGTATGTAAACATGCTAAGTAAACATGTAACATCTCTAGACCTCAGTATATAGACATACTCAGTAAACATGTAACATCTCTGGACTTCAGTATATAGACATGCCCAGTAAACATGTAACATCTCTACACCTCAGTATATAGACATGCCCAGTAAACATGTAACATCTCTAGACCTCAGTATATAGACATGCCAAGTAAACATGTTACATCTCTAGACCTCAGTATATAGCCATCCCCAGTAAATATGTAACATCTCTACACCTCAGTATATAGACATGCCCAGTAAATATGAAACCCTCAATATAGGACAGTATTGACATATTAATAGACCTGATGAATTAACACAGATTAATAGATCTGATGAATTAACACAGATTAATAGACCTGATGAATTAACACAGAGTAATAGACCTGATGAATTAACACAGAGTAATAGACCTGATGAATTAACACAGCTTAATAGATCTGATGAATTAACACAGCTTAATAGATCTGATGAATTAACAAAGAGTAATAGATCTGATGAATTAACACAGCTTAATAGATCTGATGAATTAACAAAGATTAATAGACCTGATGAACTGACACAGAGTAATAGACCTGATGAATTAACACAGAGTAATAGATCTGATGAATTAACACAGAGTAATAGATCTGATGAATTAACACAGAGTAATAGATCTGATGAATTAACACAGCTTAATAGATCTGATGAATTAACACAGCTTAATAGATCTGATGAATTAACACAGCTTAATAGATCTGATGAATTGACACAGATTAATAGTCCTGATGAATCCATTCCTAACAAGGTTTCAGCACCACATATTACTGTCAATTACCAATTAAGAAGAAATGACAGAAAAATACAACTGATTCTTTTCCGGTTGATTCATAACAAGGGTTATGCTACATATTTGTGTGACATGTTATCAAAAATATTAAAATTCGTCCATTATATATATTTAGGCATTATTACACAATAAAGCTTTTCCTGTCTAGATTTCTTTGTTTGATATGTTTATCGCGCTGTGAACAGCCAGGGTCATTTTGAGTCAGGGTCTCACTGGAATAGTTGGTAACAACATCACTGACAACCCATCGCATGTCATCTAAAGCAATCAGGGCAAAGTGTCTTACCCAAGGACACACTCACGTCAGCTAAGACCCGTCTGTTTCTCAGCTTTCAGAGAACACAAACCGCTACGGACAGGGAACGTCGAACCCCGCAACCCGATTTTTACCGGAGGTTGATCCTGCTGTTAAGGAAATAAACTCTAAAACATACATCTTTACAATTTTCAGCGTTTAAAAATGAAACTTTGGAAAATGGCCCATGAAGCTAACAGTTCTTCAAACTTTTGGAAATAAAACGAAACAACATAAGAATATACAACGTAACATATTAACAACACAATGTATATCTATCAGCTTTGAAGTGAACTATATTTTTTTTATTTAAAGCGGTCGCCAAAAATAGAGAAAATGATTTTGCCCTTCGGTACAACATGATAAGAACGGTTCAAGGTTGACTGCGGAAAATAATCAAATCCAGATTTCTCTTTTCTTCATTTCGTACTGTTTGTTCACACGCAAAATTTAAATTGAATGAATGCTATTGGAATCTTCCTCCGTATATTTCATATCAAAACAGAGTTTGGCCATGAATAGCAACGAAACAAACCTGATGAAATTATTGAAATGTAAACACACATACAATAATTCAATATGTAAGATTCCCGATTTCAAACAAAATATTTTGAATATCTCTGATATTGTAATGAGATCAGAAAAATAGCATACAAACTGGTATATGGATTGGTCTGTGATGTAGAAGTTTTCATCATACAACGGTATGTAATCTGATGTGATTTATGATTAATTGGGTCAAGGGGCTTTGAGTGCAGGATTAAGACTTTGGATTACGTTCAAAGTTTATTAACAGCATGGCAACTGTCCAAATAAAAATCCTTTTCTGAATTTTCGGTTTATTTTAATTTTCCTGCAAAGTTACGTAGCTACTAGATGAGAAAATAAAGTATTAAAGTCCATAGGGAAAAAGAGCGCCGGATATAATGTGTACAGATTGGAAAAAGACGTTCCAACAACAACTATGCGGTTGATATTGATTTATTCTTTTGTAGCACGAAGTGTCGGCAAGACAAAATCACAACTGACGCAAAACTCACAGTCATATGAACAATAAACAACACTATTTCTACAAAATATATCACAAATAAAAAACGACTAGTTTCGTGGTTTTTTTCTTTCCCTCTCAATGTTTGTGTTTCGTATCGTTTAAAGCACAGAGTGTACAGTTGTTTTTGCTTTCAGTCCGCGGACTGGAGATTCTATCGAAGATTTTTACACTTCCGGAAAACCTCATTACCGGTGAAGAGCGACGCGCTAGTCCATAACCGGAAGTTTTTGTTAAGTACTTCCGCTGGATTGGAACACTTCCATTAACCCTTCTGTTTTTGTGTATATCCGGTAGTTTCCTATCCTTTCGTTTGTAAGACTCGTAAGAGGAAGTATTTATGTACGGATGAATGTCCATTTGATCATCTGGGTCTTTTGTAATATAGAACGATCCACGAGAGGGCGCCCTGCTGTTTTCCTCTGTATTTCCGAGAGATGGAGGATGAGGGACTGCGTCAACACGACTATCAACTCTGTCACTATGTGGTCTTAAGTATGGTTTGGAGATGATTGTGAAATTTGGTGACACTGTGCGTTCCGTCAATTGGCTGTTTTTAGATATCCTAGAAGCACGAGAGGTTGCAGAACCAATTCGTTTTAAACTATTCACTTCCCATGCCTCCTTAATTGCTAATTCCCCAGGGGTCGAAAAATTTCGACTCATTCGGCTTTCTGACGGTTGTCGTGATGCTGCCGGTGTCGCATTTGGCCTGTATTTTCCAAATATCTCGTCAACGGGCTGAGAACATAACGATTTCAACCATGTTGTATTTGTTTCTCCAGAAAGTTTTGTTTGAAACTTCTTATCCACATAATAGTAATCGAAGTTTTTCTTGCGTGCATGGCGAAATGGAGATTTAAATTTAGATGAAACTTTCGTTCCCGGTCGATGAATAGTATGTCTCGGTGAACTCTCTATTTGGCTACAGTCTATAGACACAAATTTAACACTTTCTGGAATCTTGACATGATGTAATGGTCTTTTGGTCTCGTTCATTGGAGTAGACACCGGACATTTGTAAAGAGGTCCATCTGCTGGTACGGGCGACAACCGGAACACGTCATCCTGTACGACCGGAAGTGGCCTCAGCACAGCGGTATCCCTTGTTCCGGTCGTTGTCATTACCATCTGTAAAAAAAAACCCATGATGTCATCACTTACGACATTAAAATATTTACGCTATAAATAATAGATATTCTAGACTCCTTTTAGAACGTCATGAATTCCTAAAACGTGTAATTTTGTCTATTTGTATCGTGACCAGACCACACACTGTTTACAGACACTGTACCGGTGACGAACGACCCCTGTGATGGCTTGCCGAGATCTAGACGCAACTAAATAAAAACCGAGCCAGGTAAATCAGTTTCACTCAGAAAAGAAGAGAATTTGAAGAAAGCTAATCACACTTTCTGCTCTCTTCTGAATCTAAGCGAATGTACTATACTCCTTTTTTTATTTCAAACCCAGATTAACTCTCTAATTGAATATCATATTTGAAATTTCTACTCGTTTACCGCTGAATGACAGCTAATTTCATTCAGCTCTGAATAAGAAAAATCCTGTCAGAATGTTATATCCGTTAATCTGAATTTCGTTGTTAGTCATCGTTGTTCGAATTTTTGCACGCAGACTTTTTAATTACATTAACCACCTCGTGTTAATAAGATTACATTTCACAAAAAGAAACTTAACGTTCTAGTGCCATATCGAATCGAACCGATCAGTTTACAACGGAACTTAAAAGAGAAAATATGATTTTTTTAAATTATTTGATTTAGAAAATTTCTGTATAAGAATTATGGCATACGGTTAATAAATTTGCCTTTCAATAGAAATTGTATTTAAATATATATATATTAATTAGAATTATAAACCAAATCTTGGATTGAACCAGTCATAATTGTAATTTTAATCCTCAGTATACATCAAGTATTTTTATTACAGAATCCAGACGTTTAAATTAGTATGATTAAAGAAACATATTTCAAATCAAACACACGAATCAAACATAGGTATAAAACATATATACACATACGTATTGATATCACCGGATATTCATTTCGGATCTTTTTTACCTTATACGTGAGTGATTTCGTTAATCCATTCTCTGGTTTCCGCGGACTCATTTTCATAGGAGATTTTGGGAAAATATGGACAGCTGTTTTTGACGAAACTTCCATTTCTCTTCTCAATATTTTAAATGTCCAATTAAAGAATCAACCTCATTTTTTTAAATCATAGTTCAAAGTCGGTGTCTATTGTACACAAATCATACACCGGACTTAAAATAATTTCAAAGTGTATCGATAGGAATCATATCGGATTTCTTATTTATAAAAGGACGTACGTATTGAACAATTAAAGGGGGATTTTATTACCAATTAACTTGTAAGCTACATAAAATCTCGTCATTTGATACTTAAGATATTCTGTGTAATAGTCCTCCAACGTACCTGATACAATGCCAAACAGCTAATGTAAGGGTACAGTAAGGGACAGGTAACCACAGCAATATTTTGATTCAGTTTTTCAGAAGAGGTCAGACTTATACAAAATATATAATTGATCCATTGTTTTATAAGTGTTCGCATTTCTTTCATTTATTTACATTTTTAGAAGGAGGGATCAGGTTATTTGTAGTCATAAAATATAATTCAAGTTTAATACTTCATAATCCTTGTCATTTTAATAGGTGTTGTGTTTTGTGTTTTAAACATAATTTCTGCGGTGAATTCTATTCGTACATTTCCTCTTGACACGGTGTCGATTATTTGTAAAACAGTCAAAGGATCCTTTGTTTGTTTTGTTTGTTTGTTTGTTTATTTGTTTATTTGTTTGTTTGTTAGCAGATATATTCATTTTGAGGCGGAGGTCTCCTAAGTATCTAAAGCCTACTTTACTGAACAACATACGGGAGATGCGTCGCATATCATGTATAGTATTTTGGGTAAAGAGTCTTGGGAAAGGACACATTCACAACAGTAAAGCTTCCCGAACTACTAGGTCCGCTCAGAAAAGGGATCGTCCAATCACACGCCTCGGATCTTCGTCAGAGGTCGTGTAAGGTCAACTCTATACCGACTGCGGTATCGCGGATATTTGTAATTAACCAAAGGAAGAAAGTCTGTTTGTCTTTGACAAAAGACGATTTAATAGCAATTATGTGTGATTATCTTTATACTCTGACAAATCTTAACCACCTACCTGTTGGTTTGGCATTTCGACAGGTAGGTGCCAAACCAAAATGGCTTAATTTGGCTTGTAGACTCTAACTTAGAAGTATAGTATAGCTGTCAGTGTTTTTATTGGTGTGGTTCACGTCATACGTCTATCTTGTATTTGAAATACATATTTCTATATGGCTAAAACATAGTCACCATTAAAGTTCTCCCCAAAATAGAACAATTACGCCTGCCGAATCTTCCAATTGCAGGATATTGCAGGTCTCAGTGTCAGTAAAACTCTATTTCATACGTACAAATTAACAGAAAAAAAAAATTAAAACGTTCAAAAATGATGGTTTTGACATGGCTGTATAATGCAAACAACGGGAAAAAATCAATAACAATAATATAATGAAAAAACAACCACCGGAACCCGACAGTAAATTAAAACAGTCCAGAGTTGCACTAGAAGAAGTTATTTTAATGATCGGCACGACTGATATCACAACGCACTGTAAGCAGCGCGGCGACCCCGGCAAATTTATTTCCAAACTTATTCGTACATCACAGTAATTACTGGAAGACTTGGTTGTTTATCAGCTCTGTTGGTGCTCAGCAACAGATGAAAACTAATAGAGGCCTGTGTTCCTACATTTCAAGACAATAAAGGAATTGTCTGTAACGGAGGATGGTTAAAAACTGTGTTAAACCGAGAGCTCCAGCCACTGAAAGCGAACGTGTAGCCCCATGTAACGTTTCAATGTTTATGTGCTGTGAACAGAGGAAGCGTCAGATTTTAACTGGCAATTCCACGTTGATTAATTAAACACTGCTTCAAAGTTTCATATCGACACTCCTCTAGGTAAACTCGCTTTTACAATTGCATGGTGATTTGGTCTGCCGATGACAAAGATGGTTTGAAAGAGAATTAAAAGACTTTTCCACGTGTTCGTTCTCAATTTAGTAATTATTAGTGCGCTACTTTTTCGCGTATTCAAAGACCAGCAATCTCTTTCCTTTTTCCCCCAGAGGAAATCACAATGCGTTTTGTTAGGAAACACAAACAGCTGTTACGTAGGCCAAATATCCAAATGTGTCGTATTGCTCATTCAGCATCATATTTTGGCTTCTTCCCTCCTTCATGATTATGTAGACGGAGAGATGGAGCCAAAATTGAAATTATATAAAAAAAAATATGAAAAAATGAACATCGTGCTAATGCCGTATTTTGGATAATACTGGAACCGTGAGAGCTAAAGGTCGGTAAACAATTAAACGGGAACAAAAGATAAAACAATAGCAAAGACTAGAACAGAAGTCGAGAGAACACCAAAACGTAAAAGCAAAGACTACAACGTGATATGAGGGAACTTAACGGAGGAAAAAAACAAGAACCATTGAGACACAAAAACAAAACGGGAAACATAACTATAGACGTCCATGTTCTATCTGTAATCAGATTTTAGTGTTTTTCACCATGAAAGTTTTGCGATAAAATCTGATTGTGTTAGTTGTAGTTTCTGTAAGCTGTTTATACAGCATTTATTGTGGACGCACGAATTTATGATTGTGCTTAAGTGATAATGAATTACGACAAATTAAGTACGTTTACAGTAAGTAAATTGATATCAGATGTAAGAAACAGAACATTTAACGGGTACCGCGGAAATACAAAAATAAACAAAAACAAGATATAGACTGTAGCGTATTAAAGATGATTGTATATTTCATATCATTAAGGTAAAGAATAAAGAGTTAACTCATTTAGAAAGTGGAAAGGAAACTAGGAGAGGAAGCAACTGTTAGGAAAGTAAAACGAGTCTATTTTGAGTACGAACGTTCGTCAGGAAAATATCATATTAATTAATTACAAACACCAGCGGATTTGATAAATCTGACAGAGCATATTGATAAATTTAGCATCAAGATTTTTCAAGTACTTGTACTTATACTAGGGAAATAACTCGACTAAAACTGGAAACTACGGAGAACATTAATATATCAATGATACAGTACAGAAGTTTCACTCTCCATGACGCTACTATTCCAGATATCTATGAAGGAACTGATATAGAGAGAAGGACTAACATCCAAAAGCTCACCATGGGTGGTTAATAGACAATATTATACAGGTGTACAAACTCCTCGCACTAGGGACAGGACCTGGTAGTGATAGTGTTATTCCTGGCATTCAGCAATGGGCAAGAGACAAATGGAGAAAATCTAGTATGTAAAAGTGTTATGATTTAAGGTATACAACAAGAGATTAATCGGATCTTTCCCTAACTGGAGGGTAAATATCTGTCATACCCTTAAGGCAGGGAACAGTCCTTTTTCTACCCATTTTCCCCTTAAAAGTAAATAAGGAATAAATATACTGGTGATATTATAACCAGTGGTATAGTCATTTGCATATGAGGCTCGGGTGACAATTGTTAAAAACGTCAATGACACCAATTGACTCTGACACGTCATGAAAATGCAAAAATACTGCTAATTCCAACCGAACACTACAACATTTTAGACGAAATTTATTTCTGAACACCTGTCTTAAAATCATCAATATTGTCATGGTGACAAACTACTGACATATATATATTTCAGCAAATTCTAATTCGGAAATCCTTTAGAACATGTCCACGTATAAATATTGTGAAAATTTCACTTCATGTAAAGCTAGTTTTTGCTGCGTAGTAACAGATTCGACACTGTCAAACAGTTATCTCCAACACAAAGCTAAGATATTATTCCGAAAAGCATAAAACCCAACATTGTCCACTTCAACATGACAAGACCAACTTTAGCAAGGATTCATTTTTTTTATTTTGATTAAAACCTTTATAATAGGGTAATCTAATGAACAAAAATGTCAACCCTGGCCACATCGAGAAACTGTGTACTGCTACCTTACCCTTGCCGGAAGTGAGAATATTTCTGTCCGGCAGAAAACTATTTCTATGT